TACAAAGAATTACACATCCTGACCAACTGGGATCTGTCCCAGGAAATGCAACGTTAGTTTAACATCTAAGTATCAATTAATGGAATATACCATATAAATAAAATAAAAGACAAAAAAAGCCACACCCACAACGATTATCTCAAGAGATGGAAAAAATTGGAACAGAGTCTAGAAATAGATCCACAGAAATACAGACAGTTCATCTTTGAAAAAGGACGAAAGGCAACTCAATGGAGAAAGAACAGTCTTCAAAAAATGGTGCTAGAACTACTAGACATCCTCATGTTTAAAAAAATGATCTAGGGGCCAGCCCAGTGACGTAGTAGTTAAGTCTGATGTGCTCTGGTTCGGCTGCCTGGAGTTCAAGGGTTTGGATCCTAGGCAAAGACCTACACAACTCATCAAGCCACGCTGTGGTGGCGTCCCACATACAAAATAGAGGAAGATTGCCGGATGTTAGCTCAGGGCAAATCTTCCTCCCCAAAAGAAGATCTAAATACACATCTTACACCTTTCACAAAAATTTTCTCAAAATGGATAACAGACCCAACTGCAAAACAAAATTATAACACCTAGAAGATAACATAGGAGAAAATGTAAGTGACCTGGGGTTTGGCAAACAGGCCAAACCAGACTGAGATCTGTTCTCTGCCAGCCGGCTGACCCCTCTGTGGCACACAAAGTTGGTGCTGACAAAAGGAATTCCTCCCTTCATGTTGGCAGCACCCAATTCTTTTCTCAACCCATTCCACACAGTGAACAGACCCCTCCCAACAGTAAAGACTGCCGCAACACGCATTTATCGCTGCACAAACCACAGCAGCATAGGGCAGGCAGTTCCAAAGCTGGGTGACTTGGAAGCGCAGCTCTTATGTTTACATGTTTATGGTCAACATTGTCCATAAAGAAGGGAAACCTTGTCTGGAAATCCCTGGAAGACTCCAGTTCAGATCCTTTTGGCCAGAACTAGATCAGATTCACTCAGAACCCAGTTATAGGGGAGGAAATGAGGCCTGTCAATGGGCTCCAAACACTCAAGATTCCTCCAGGGAACAGGAGAGAGGGCACAGGGGTCTGCCTTCCCTGAGCATACTGGACTGATGCCACAGGCACTGGTAGAGATATAACTCTGTCAAGAGCCCCGGACAGTTTAGGAAGTGCAACGCACCTCAGGAAAGCTTCCCACCTACGTGGCACTTATTGGAATCTCCCCAGGATGAATGTATAAATGTACAAGGTTCACCTACTGGCTGATGGCTCCCTCACGAAGGGTAGTCACAGACCTTTTCTCTGGTGTGAGTCCTATTAGGTTGAACAAGGAGATAGCACATTTTCTGCATTCATAAGGCCTTTTGCTAGTGTGAACTTTATGGTTCTAAACAAGTTTAAGAGATGCAGCTAAAGGGTCACCAAAACTGTCGCATTCACGATTCCTTTCTCCAGTGTGAACTTTCTGGTGCCGAACAAGATGGGAGTTTCTGCTGTAGGCTTTCCCACATTCACTGCACAAGTAAGGCTTTTCTCCAGTGTGAACCCTCCGGTGTAGAATGAGGCTAGAGTTGCGGCTAAAGAATTTCCCACATTCACTGCACTCATAAGTTCTGGCTCCAGTGTGAACTTTCTTGTGTTTTACAAAGTGGGAGCTACTAATGTAGGCTTTCCCACATTCACTGCACACATATGGCTTTTCTCCAGTGTGAACCTTTTGGTGTAGAATGAGGCTAGAGTTGCAGCTAAAGATTTTCCCACATTCACTGCACTCATAAGGTCTGGCTCCAGTGTGAACTTTCCTGTGTTGAACAAGGTGGGAGCTACTAATGTAAGCTTTTCCACATTCACTGCACACGTAAGGCCTTGCTCCAGTGTGAACTCTCTGGTGTAGAATGAGGCTTGAGTTGTGGCTAAAGCATTTCCCACATTCGCTGCATTCATAAGGCTTTGCTCCAGTGTGAATTCTCTGGTGTACACTAAGGTTGGAGCTATGGCTAAAGAATTTCCCACATTCATCACACTCATAAGGCCTTTCCCCAGTGTGGATTTTCTGGTGCTGCACAAGTGTGTCTTTACGGCTGAAGGCCTTCCCACATTCGCTGCACTCATAAGGCCTTGCTCCAGTGTGTATTATCTGGTGGTGAACAAGTGTGTCTTTACGGCTGAAAGCTTTTCCACATTCACTGCACTTATAACGTCTTTCCCCAGTGTGAATTCTCTGGTGCTGAACAAGGTGGGAGATTTGGCTAAAGAATTTGCCACATTCGGTGCACTTGTAAGGCCTTTCTCCAGTATGAAATCTCTGGTGCTGAACAAGTGTGTCTTTACGCCTGAAGGCTTTCCCACATTCATTGCATTTATAATGTCTTTTTCCAGTGTGAAATTTCTGGTGCATTTTTAGGCGACACAGGTGAATGAAGGCCTTTCCACACTCCTTACACACATGTGATGTTTCTCCACTGTGAATTTTTCTGTGATGAGGAAGAGCTGATTTCTCCCTGGACATATTTCCACGTGGTAGGCATCCTAAGGGTCTCAATTCAGTATGAGTTATCTGGTTGTCAAGGAGAGTGAAGGGATTCTGAAAGGCTTTCCCACTGTCACTGCAATTGAAAAGCATCAGTTCGTCATGGTCTCCCAGGCGTTGCCCGAGACTGGAGCTGTGTGGGAGACACTCCATGAACTCAGTCCTTTTGTATGGACTCATCCCACTGTGAGTGGTCTGGTGCTGGAAGAGGCCAGAGTTGTCCAGCAAGTCCATCACTTCCTCCGAGCAAGTAAAGGGTCTCCCTAACACATGGACTGCACAGCTCTTCACAAATGAGGCCCCACTATCATCCCCTCTGAAGGGATTCGCTCCACTATATCGACTCTGGTGCTGGTCAAAGTTTGGACTGAACAAGAATGCTCTCCCACAGGGGCCACGTGTGTACAGTTTCCGTGTGAAGTGTTGAGGCACACTTCCCTGGTGTTGAGGCAGGTGCAAAATGTCTTTCAAGAGTAGGTCACACATCTCCCACGGGTGGGCTTTCTCGATAAACGAACCTGACGCTGGAGTCCTGACTGGCAACACTCCTACAGAAACGCACTGATCAGAAGAGGCCTCCTCACTGTTGGCTTCACACCAACAACCTGAAAGCAAAGAAATGCTGGTGAGGAACATGTTAACTATGGTAGGAAGCAGCAGCCCCATCACATATGTGTGTGTGACACACCAGTGAACGAGTCTATTGACTTGCTGGCAGGACGAGAGAGCCAGGATTGGGGTGAGGAAGGACCCATGGTCAGTCCTGGCCTCTAAAGCTCCCAGTATGGAGGAACTCTAATGAGTTCTAAAGACACAACGATGGCGTAGGCTACAGGGAATAGACGTGGGGTCTCCAATTCACTCCTCCACAAAAGGGTTTCAGCAGGGCCTTGGCTGCTGGTGTCAGGTGAGCTGTGTGCAGCAGGCTGTGTCCAGCCCCAGGAAAATCTGACTGCAAGTAAGTGACTGATTCCTAAAGACTATTTAAAGATATGTGCACAACCTATGACACATTAAAGTGGCCAATGCTGCAGAGCACTGCAGAGGGAGCAGAGGAGAATGAGTGAGACCCGGAGGCCAGAGAAGTGGGGAAACAGCCAAGGGATGAAAGACAGCAGAGAAATGACAAGTGGCCAAAGTACCAAGAATGAGGAAGGAAAGGTAGAAATGAGGTATTGCTACAGGCCTTGGCGAGAAAACACTGGTGAACTCAAAGGAGTCTGAAGGTAAGATCTGAACCCAGCCCTAACAGGACACTCTCTCCCAGTCCCCATTCGGCAGTGCCAGGCTCTCTCTGGGTCTCTCTCACTGTGGCTGGAGTCAGGTCACCCATCAGGCACCCAGGGCTTTCTGCCCCTCTCCAAGGGGAATGACACGGTATCTAGAATATGGAAGTTGTAAAGGAAACACAGGGCAGATGAGTGGCCCAGGCAGACCCACCCCACAGAGAAGAAAACAAAAAGTTAATAAAAGAACCTGAAAGGAAAATTTGGCAGAACAGCCCTGTGACCTCCACAAGCAGTGACACGTCAGTACCTGCAATTCCTGGCCCAGTCAGCCCAGGAAATGCCAGCTGGAGGATGAGGACAGAAACTGGGACACAGAGGTACCATGGATCTGGATAGTCACCTGGCCCAAGCCATCTAGACTCTGTTGAGCAGACTGAAAAAGCCCTGAACCCCTAACCCGTTCCTGCAAGGCTTTGGGCAGCAAGTTTTGGGAGTGCTCAGCAAGTGAGGGGACACTGCACATGGCCCAGCCCCGGTACCCATAGCACCTACTCTGGGAACCAAAGAAGTGAGGGAGAAGAGTCACTGATCTGGCAGAAGAGAAAGAGCTGCCCCAAGGGAACAGGGGAATAACCAAGCCCCAAGGACACTGGAGTGGGCATGAGGGCCTATGGAAGGCAGCTTCTAAGATGGCCCCTGGAATGCCTCCCTCCCAGTATTCTTGCCCTTTCTGTAAACCTCTTCCCTTGATTGTAGGCTGCACTGACTGGCCCCTTTCCAAGGAAAAGAATATGTCAAAAGTGATGGGATGTCACTTTCGAGGTCAGGTTAGAAAAAGACTGGCTTCCACCAATCTCTCTTGCCCACTTGCTCAGAGAGAAGACAGCTGCCATGTTGTGAGGTACACTACAGAAAGGCCAACAGGACAAGGAACTGAAGGAGACCTTGGGCCAATAGCCAGAGAGGAACTAATACTCACATTTGAACAAGTTGCAAGAACCTAAGCTTGAAAACAACCACAAGAGTGAGTTTGTAAGTGGATTCTTCCCAAGACTGGCCTTCAGATGAGAACACAGCTCTCACTCACAGCTTAATTGGAACCTCAGGAGATACCCTAGGCCAAAAGCACCCAGGTAAACTGTGACCAGATTCCTGATGCAGCGAAACTGAGATAATTAATCTTTACTGTTTGAAGCCACTAAATGTTGGTGTAATTTGCTATGTAGCAGTAGATGACTAAAACAGAGACTTACCCAGTGAGGCCACAAGTGCGAAGTTCTCCAGCATCACATCACGGTACAGGAGTCTCTGAGCCTCCTCAAGGAGCTCCCACTCCTCCCGGGAGAAGTACACGAACACATCCTCAAAGGTCACACAGCCCTGCCACGATGGGGACAGTTGAGCCCACAGGCAAAAGGATTCTCCAGTGTGTCTGCTCACACACCCGCTCCCAGATCCCTCTCCTCCCGAGTCTCCCAACTCAGAGGAGATACCAGGCTTGACACCACTAGTGCCTACTCTCTCGTGTCCCTTTGATCACCGTGTGCAGCCGAAAGCAGAACCTGTAAGCTACGGGTCTCGCATGAAGGGCACGAAACAGTCTCCTGCCTGCCAGTTCTCTTGTCATCCAGACCACACCTCCCAGACACAACCTGAAGGCGGTCAGGTCACACTCCTCCCAACATGCACATCACTCTGTGAACCACATCTTCTTCATGTCTGGGACCTCCACTACCACTGACAACCTTCTAGTCCAGAGCATATGCACCTACAAGGCACCTCCCGCCATGCCACTCTGCACATGGTGTCCAGGAAGTGCTCACATGATTATGACAGGCACCACTGCCTTCAGGTGCCTAAGCAAGAGACCCAGTCCTCAGTCCCCAGTTTCCACTTTCTTGTTATCAACGGCATTGCCACAATGAACTGAAGATACTCCCTCCTAAACTTAACCCACAGCTCTACTCCATTCCACACATTGGCTGCCACCTTTTGAACTTCAACCAGAAGCCCTCCCTGAACTAAAAACCCGTGTCCAGCTTGACGCCTCAATTAAGGGGTCCCTGGGACTTCTTAAACTAAACATAACTCCCGATAGAGCCACTGAAATCTACTCCTGCCACCACGCGCCCTATCTCAGTTGATGGCACTTCCATCATCCTACCCTCTAAAGCCAAAAATACCCCTGGGGTCATTCGTGACTCTTCCCTTTCTCTCATTCACACTTCACATCAGAAAATCCAGTGACTCTACTTAAAAAACAAACACAAAATCTACCAACTTCTCTCACTTCCACAGCCACCCCTCTGGGCCAGCCACCATCCACACTCATGTGGACTACTGCAGTAGGCTCCTCCCTCATGCCCGTACTCTGTACTCAACCAGAGAGCAGCCAGAGGGAGCCTGTTAAGATCTGAGTCAGATCACCTCTCTCTTCTGCTCCAAATCTTCCATGTCTTTCACCATCCCCAGAATAGAGGCGCAGCTCCTCAGCCTGCCATTCCTGCCTGACTCCTGGCCCTGTTCCCAACAGACATAATTAAGACCTGTGGTTCCTTGAGGACTCCCAACTCAATCTTACCTCCAAGCATTTGCACATGCTGCACCTGAGCCGAATATAACCTTCCAGTCCTCATCCTACTGGCTGTCAGAAGAAGGAATCTTTCCAATAACTCCTGGCCTAGATTCAGGATGCCGGGCTACAAGTGACCCACTGTGAGGGCCCCCACACTCCAATGCTGAGGGAGTGACAGGTGAAGAGTCACAGAAAATCACTGTGTCTCATCAGGAAATCTAGTCCCCCCTACTTTAAAAACATATACAAAATCCATACACTCACTTCTCTAACCTCCACAGCCACCACTCTGGTCCACCCACCATCAACACTCACCTGCACTATTGCAGTCTGCTCCATCATGGTCTCCCTGCCCCCTCCCATGTCCCCCAATCTTTCTTTCCACTCTGGAGGCAGACGGAGCCTATTAACACCTAACTCAGATCACCTCCCTTCTCTGTTCCAAACCTTCTCACCAGACAGAACAGAGACCCGCGGCTCCCGGGTCTCACTTCCAAGTATTTGGACCAGCCGGCTCCTGCGCCTTGGAAACCCTTTCACACCTCATCCCATCGCATCCCATCGATCCTGGGAATGGGAACCTCGCCATCTATCCGCCGGGAGTGACCGCACTCCACCGCCTTTATACTCAAGAGGAGGCAGCGATGAAGGCGAAGTGATGAAGGTCCGACAACACACCATCCCCTACACGCGAGTCGGTGAGGGCTGGAGGGACCCTCCACTCACCCGAGCCCGGTCCATCAGCGCCGCGGCCGCCATGGGATCCTGTGAGCAGAACGCGGCCCGCGAGAAGCGGGCGAACGGGGCGGGCCCGGCGGCCTCAGCCGAAACACCCCACCTCCACTGGGCCGGGTGCCGTCGGGCTGACTGTCGCCTCCGAGCCCCAGCCTCCCCGTGTAAAAACCCGCGCAAGGCTCAGGAGGCCGCCTCCGGGGCCCCCGAGGACGGAGGGCGGGCGCGAATGCCTGGGAAAGAGCGTAGCCCCGGCGGACAGCTCCGCGCAGGGCCGCCCGTCCCACGACGGGGATCAAGGGTCGGAACAAACGCGCGGAGAGACGGCCCGTCCTTCTCCCCGTCGTGTGGGACACCGACCCGGCCCAAGACTCGGAGCCGCCTCAGCCAAGCTGGACAGTCCTGGCACAGGCAAAGGACGTCACGACGGCGACGCCGGAAGTCCCGCCTCTGCCGCCCCGGGCAGCAGGAAACGCCCATCCACCGGGCTGTCATTGGCCTAACATGGACGCGCCGGGCACAGACTTCTGGGTAATGTAGTTTGTCCTCTGCAGTCAACACGGCGGTGGTCACGTTTCCGGTTCCTGAGAAACGCGAAAGCGACACTGCGCGGAGGCCTGTAGGGGGAGAAGGATCCAGGACAAATAGTATCCTAAGTACCAAAGTTCCCCTTAATGGCGACGTGCTCAGATATCTGTGGTCACCTGGCAGAATAACCCGTCCTCAGAGGTCTCCAGCATGTGATCCATTGTTTAATCCTGGGAGAGCTGCTTCACCTCTCTGAGCTTTGGGGACTGAGATTTAAATTGAACAATGAATATACCTCGCTCGTGGGGGCCTTTGTCTAGTAACATTAAATGCTCCTCTAATTCGTTGATTCCCAAATTTGGGTGCCTGATTTGGCAGTATCAACATCACCTGTCAACTTATTTAAATGCAAGTCCTCGGAGCCACCCTACACTTTCTGCCACAGAAACGCTGGGACGGGGCCCTGGCTCAAGTTTGAGAATCGGCGCTCTCTTTCAAAGTCATGACCACCCTCCTCCCCAAAAATGCAAGAACTAAAATGGGAAAATACTACAACCTATCTCATGCGAAGTGAGATGCAAAGTGCTTAATACAAGGCCTAATGCTAAACACTTACAAGCTATTGTTTTTATTATTCTCGTCCCCACAAGGTTCTCACATATACTGCTATAGGAGGATGTCAGAGACCCTCTTTGCAGAATCGCTGATGATATATATATACAGTTTGTTTTTTTTTTTCCGGTGAGGGAGAGTTGCCCTAAGCTAACATCTGTTGCCAATCTTCTGTTTTTGCTTGACGGAGATTAGCACGGAGCTAACATCTACGCCAATCTTCGTCTATTTTTTGTATGTGGATCTCCGTCGCAGCATGGCTGTTGAGTGGTGTATGTCTGCTCCTGGGATCGGAACTATGAACCTGGGCCACTGAAGTGGAGCGTGACAAACTTAACCACTACGCAACAGGGCTGGCACAATATTTTTTTAAAACATAAACTAAAGTCACTCCCTGACTCAGTGCGTAGCATCATAGGTAATGGTTAATATTTTTGCATAAAGCACACCTGTATACCTTTAGGCTTATTTAAATTTCTTTTAAACATCACATGCAGAAGAGTTTCCTAAATTACAGTTAAGTCTGTTGTCCAAGGGACACATTCTTACAGGCCATATGATTCAAAAGATAGGACTATTAAGACTAATTGCCCTTAGGCTTAAGTGGACAGTGGAGTTAACATGGTCTCATATCATGGTTTATTTCATAAGATGACATAGTAATAATTCTATGTAATTATTTACATATTAGTAATGTCTAATTCACAAGAACAAAGACTCAATGCCTCCTGCCTTCCCCCCTGGCTCTCAGGGCAGGCAGACCCAGGTACAAAGGTATGATTACGAGATGGCCCAGCCTGATACCCAGCGGCTCAAGGTCACCAGGTCTGGTCCTCCTCCTCCTCAAGACACCATCGTCTTATCATGTGAACTTGCAGCTCCCAAGGGAGCAATAATTCCTGGGGAGGTGTGAAAACTGGAACCACTGAGGCCCAAGGAGGCGACCCCAGGAAGGAGCACAAATGAGAAAATACAATGAAAAAACAATTTCACAGTCACTCCTGCCTGTATTTCCTTGGCCAAAATTCATTTGCATGGTACCAAATTAAATGCAAGGGAACCTGGGTCATGCCTGCCCTCTTGGGTATCCAGAAGGAGAAAATAGTATTGGTGAACACCTAGCCAGTTTCTAGCACAATCCATCGATATGATCACCAGATGCCCATTTTATTATTCATCATCTACGTTCTACACTCTTACACCCTTGTTAATTTGACAACCAAAATCCTATCCATTCACTGACTGCATCTCAATGTTAGGATCTCTGGGTGATGTCTTCTGCAACTCAGGTCCTAATATTCTTTCTCAAAGCCCAGGAGGCAATATACATATATATATTCTTTACACACACACACACACACACACACACACACACACACACACACACACAGTATCTCCACTCACACTCAATATCAAGTTATGTGTCAGGGATGCAGTAGAAAGACATACTGAAACTCTTGAAGAAATAACTACCAACAAATGTCATACACAAGAAATGCATCTTTGAAGAGTGTAAAATAAGACTATTTGAGACCAAAAATGAGAAATTTTTTTTTCAAATTTTTATTTATTTATTTTTCCCCCAAAGCCCCAGTAGATAGTTGTACGTCATAGCTGCACATCCTTCTAGTTGCTGTATGTGGGACATGGCCTCAGCGTGGCTGGAGAAGCAGTGCGTCGGTGCGCGCCCGGGATCCGAACCCAGGCCGCCAGTAGCGGAGTGCACGCACTTAACCGCTAAGCCACGGGGCCGGCCCCAAAAATGAGAAATTTGATGGAAAAAAATAACCAACACAAATAGCACTTTAAGGATTCTGTTGAAGGTTGGAGGAAAGTGATCCCAGGTGAATGGTCTGCAACCATAGAAGGAATTACGATCTGTGAGAGGGGTGCGTTTGTGGATTAGTACAAGCACTCCTTATCTGTATAAAACATTAATATTTCCTTTTTGGAGACAGAATGAGGGAATTACCACATGCGTATCCTCAATAGCACATAAACTGAGATGAGCAAATTAATGTTTAAATCTCATATATTTTCCAGCAGTAGAGCAAAGATACTAATAACTTTATGCTTTAATGTGTAAATAAGTGTGTTGTCATGTTTGGCTTACACACTAATGAACGGAATTAGAGTATATACTCTACAAATTTAAAGAAGGAAAATTTGAAATGTAAAGAAATAATCGATAGAAAGTCTTTAAAAAGGGAGTGTACAGAACTAGTGAAGCAAAGAAAAGCAAACCCCCACCCACAGAGGATGTACTGAAACCCAAATATATCAGCTATCTCATGAAATGAGTATGGAGTAAATGCTCACATTAGCAGTGAGTAATATTTTCAGATGAGGTAACATTGGATCAGTAATTTTTGATACATTAAAAATATCCAACAATAGTATGGATACAAGAGACACGTCTTCGGGCTGGCCTCGTGGCTTAGCGGTTAAGTGCGTGCACTCCGCTACTGGCGGCCCGGGGTTCGGATCCCGGGCGCGCACCGATGTATCGCTTGTCTGACCATGCTGAGGTGGCGTCCCACATACAGCAACTAGAAGGATGTGCAGCTGTGACATACAACTATCTACTGGGGCTTTGGTGAGAAAGAGGGAAAAAAAGGAGGAGGATTGGCAATAGATGTTAGCTCAGGGCCGGTCTTCCTCAGCAAAAAGAGGAGGATTGGCATGGATGATAGCTCAGGGGTGATCTTCCTCACACACACACACAAAAAAACAACAAAAGACATGTCTAAAATATAACATTACAGAAATATATCCAACAGGTTTTGGAAAAGATACTTGTTAGAATTATTTTGAAAATAATACGTGAAAATGTGAAATATGTATTTACATCAGAAAAAAACTTTTAAAGAGAAAGCATCAGCAAGAAGATATACTATTCTAAAATGTGTGTGTAATTTATAACACTGACTCAAATTACATAAACCAAGAATTTCAAAATAAGAAGGATAAGGATATAAATTCGTGAATATATCAGGCATTTTTACATCCGTCATCTCAGTAATTAGTAGCAACAGCCAATATCAAATTGTTAAACTTCTAATGGATTCACAAAGAATGATAAATCTGACCTGACAGATACATATCATACAATACAGAATGTTCATATCTAGTACAAACTGAATATTGATAGAACTGTCCATATATGTGACGATAAAAAGCATCTTTAATTTAATAGAATGAAATAAGACAAAGAATGCAATCAAGACATCAAGCAACAACAGAGCTTAGTGGAAACTATAAAAAGATGTGTTTGGAAATCAAGTTACAAAATACTATCTAACCCACACATCACGAAAGTAAAGACAAAAAATGTAAATTTTTTTTTTTTTTGCCAAATAATGACACACCCATAGATTCTTTTTTTTTTTTTTTTTTTGCTGAGGAAGATTCACCCTGAGCTTACATCTGTTGCCAATCTTCCTCTTTTTTTGCTGAGGAAGAGTCACCCTGAGTTGACATCTGTTGCCAATCACTCTCTATTTTGTATGTGAGCTGCCGCCACAGCATGGCCACTGACAGACAAGCAGGGTAGGTCTGTGCCAGGGAACCGAACCCAGGCTGCTGAAGCGGAGCACGCCAAACTTAACCTCTAGGCCACCAGGACTGGCTCCCCATATATTCTCTAGAGATGTGTTTAATGAAATTCCATAGAGACGTTAATAGATTTAAATACATATATTATAAATTTAAAAAGCATGATAATTAGCAAGTGACACATTCATCTCAAAATTACTAAAAAAAAGGAAAAAAAACACACCACAGTACAGAAAAGCACACTGATTCCATTCATATAAATTTTAAAATCAGGCAAAAAATGTATCTATTATTAATGATACATATATAAGGTATCGAACTATGAATTAAGAAAAGAGAATGAGGAAAACAAAGTTATGGATAGAGGATTCCACTGAAGTATAAAATGGGTTTTGCAGTCTGTGAGGTTCATAAAGGAAGTCTCATCTTGCTATGCTCTTTGTGTTCTGTGGGGCGCACGTTGGTATTTTATTTATCTTTTTTCTATACGTGTAATTTCAATAAGATAAATTGGACAAGTCTTAAGTGCACGGCTTGATGAATATGTGCCTGTCAACACTCACATAAACCCTGCTCATACAAAGTCACAAAACATTCCCAACAGCTCTGCATGAAGGTGACCATTATTCTGTCCTGTCTCCCTAAGGTTTTTAACTTTTCTACAGAACTCTACAGTAGGTACTGCTTTGTCCCTGACTCACATCCCTGTCACTCGTCTTTTTCTATGAGATTCATCCGCAGGGTTGCATGAAGCAGCAGTTTTCATTGCTTGTTTTCTTCCATTTTGTGACCATTTCATCATTTATTTAGGCGTGTTCCCATGGATGCCTATGTGGGTTGCTTCAAGTTCTTGGTTATTTCAATACAGTTGCTATAAACCTTCATGGATATGTATTTAGAGGAAAAATGCCCTTATTTCTAATGAGTATACACTCAGAATTGGATTTGCTTGGTTATAATAATATAAATATGTTGGAATTTAGTACAAATCTTGACACATAAAAGAGTTAAAGCAAAAATTAATGCAAGCATTCTGTGAGAATCAATTGGCTATGTGGAGCTGACAATAGAGATCATTGTATATATTATCATTTGTAAAGTGTGTGCTACACATCCTTTATATCAGTAAAATTTGTAGTGAACTTATGTAATCTATATGCACTTTTCCCTCAAGAGCAGACATTAACCATTTATCACCACATCCCTGTGGGTACAGATCTGATTACCTGCATTGGGGAATGTTTCCGTGATCGTCCGTGTATGTGTGAGATCTTGTGTGCGTGTCTCTCTCTGGATGGCCATATCTCTACATGTCTGACCATTTGTACATCTGTATCTGTCAGTGTGGCTGTATACATGTGTCTACCTTGGGGAATGTACATGTGCTCCTCACTCTCAATGTCCCTGCCTCTGCGTTGTCCTGGTGTTCTCCTGTGTTGCCCCTTCGTCTGTCCAGGAGCTTTACTGTGGATGTCTCCATACTCTTCTGCACGTGTGCTCTAGGGCGTGCCTGTGTGTCTGCATGTACACAGTTGTGTCAATGGGTGCATCTGCCTGTGGCCCACATGTGTCCCTACGAGCACTGTTCTTGACATGTGTGAGACTTCTGTGCATAGGTGTCTGGGTGTCCTTCTATGTCTGTGTCCATCTGTCTTCATGGTTATATGTGTCTCCAGGTGATATAAAAAGACCCTCTCTATGCTTGTGTCTGTGTCCTGATGAGTATCTGCTTGTGCGTCTTCATAGGGTTTTGTGTTCTACGTGTGTGTGTGTGAGTGTGAACATCTGCTGGTACATTTTTGTGTAGTCCTGTGTGTGCTGGTATTGCAGAGTCTCCTCCTGGCCTGTATATGTCCCATGGCATGTCTGGGGGTGCCCCTGACCAACATGCCCGCCTGGGACCCAGGTCCCTTGCTGTGTCCCAGCCCAGTCACCCCTGACTAAGGGGATCTCTGAATGCCACTCAGCCTCTGCCAGCAGCTGGGCACTCATGGAACAGGGTCACTTTCTGGGATATCTGTGCTCTCAGCTTGTCCCCACTCAGAATTCACCTCCTGGGGCTGGCCCTGAGGCGTAGCAGTTAAGTGCATGCGGTCCACTACTGGTGGCCCGGGTTCGGATCCCGGGCATGCACCGAGGCACCGCTTGTCAGGCCATGCTGAGGCCGCATCCCACATACAGCAACGAGAAGGATGTGCAACTATGACATAACTATCTACTGGGGCTTTGGGGAGAAAAAGGGGGGAAAAAAAGGAGGAGGATTGGCAATAGATGTTAGCTCAGGGCCAGTCTTCCTCAGCAAAAAAAGAGGAGGATTGGCATGGATGATAGCTCAGGGCTGATCTTCCTCACAAAAAAAAAAAAAATGAGTTAACCTCTTCTTGGAGGCTTCTCTGTCCAGCCCCTCATGTGGGACACCACAGTCCCCAGGCCTTGGCCTCAGATCTCCCCACACTGAACTTTCACTTTCTCAAATGTCCCAGGATCGCTGACACACCCACACCTTTGCACAGGATGTTCCCTCTGCCTGGAGCTCCTTGTGTGGACTACTGTCTATTTGTGTTACAGGTTTAAATTATATACCAGGGGAGGGGTTATGATTGTAAGGGGAAAGAGAAGCTCGGGGGCATCCTGGGGGCCAGGCCATGGGGTTCTCAGCAGCTGCTCTGGTGCTCACCTCTAAGCTCTGGGATTCTCCTATTGAATGTTAGTTCACAGAACACCAACCTCAGTCGAGGTCACTCTGTGACCACTCTAGAATGAGACAGAAAAGACCACCCAATCATCACATCAGAGCACAGAACAAAACAAGAACTTGGTCAAACAAGAGAAATGACGAGATAGCCCCCTCTCTGGGGTAACGTGAGTGAGGGCTACGTCTTCTACCAGCTGCTGCATTAGGCCTGCTTCCTTCACGTGCCTTGTAGATAACACATTTCGGGATTTCTGATCATAGAATCAACCCTACTGCCTGACACCATCCAATTCAGACCAAAGCTGCAATTCCTTTAAACCCTTCTCCAAAACACTGAACACCAGTACAGAGTCCTAACATCCTCTTACTGAGCGCCCTGCATTTCTCATGGTGTGCGGTACCCAACATGGCACGCAGTGCATTGATAAGCCTTGCTGTTCCACTACCGCTGTCAGGGGTGTTCCTGGTGCCAAAGGGCACTGGCACCACAGACCTGCAGACCTGAACGCTCCCCTGAACTCCAGAGTTGCTCATCCACCTGGATATCAATTTCCTCTTAGACGTCTGGTAGACCTTTCAAACCGAATGAGCACAAAACCTAATTCTCATCTCGCCCTGCCCTGCTCGATCTCACTGCCCACCTCTCTCCCCGCTATAGCCATAGTAGCATTCCTCTGGTGCCTGCACCAGACCACACTCTGGTCAGTCTCTGCTTCTTGACACACGCTGTTACCTTTGCTGGAGATGTTCTTCTCCAACTCTGACCCTGCCTGGGGATCCTGCATCCTTCAGAAGGCTGCATGATATCACCTCTTGCTTCTGTCTGCTCTGCTTTCTCTGCTTTAGTTCAATGTCCATCTTCCCATTTTACACACAAGGACACTGAACTCCAGGGAGAAGTGACGTGACCATGGTCATGTGGCTGCAGATGGCCCAGTGCACATGGGCTGGAATCCCAATCAATCCCAACTCCAAGCTCTTAGCCACTAGGTCACTCTGCCCACTCCACACCTGCCCTTCCATCCCCACATTTTGATCTTTCTATTGTTTGTACTTGTGAGTTCCCCAGACACATGGCTGTGAAAGCGACAGTTACTTTATTGCGCATGCTTCATTTAATGTGTTCTCCACATGAGAGGAGCTCAAGGGCAGGGAGCTCAAGAGCCCACATTTCAGTCACCCATGTGTCTCAATTTCTCATGGTGTGCCATGGGATGAAGGACAGGGTCTCATCCCTCTTGCCCAAACAGCAGCAAGGTCATAGCTGGCCCCTCTGATTGAACACAGAAGTGAAGAGCAGATGGTGAGAAATGGGAGATGTGGGAACAAAGACCAGTCTATCATCTGGATGGCATGTCACAACAGCTAGGGACAAATGCACACCCAGGTATCAATGTGCTGTGTTATACTGACGAGCTCCCAAGCGTGGAGGGAAATGTCCTCTGCAGGAGAGGGTTTTTACGACCCTTACAGACCTAGGAGCTCGGTTACAGGTACCGCCACAACCACTGCACAAACAAGCCCTCCTGAGAGAGGACAGAGGAAGGAGGGGCCCTTGAGAGGCAACTCTCTTTCCCGAATAGAAAAGTACCTATGCTGTCATTAAAAAATTATGAGTATTGTGACTACTGACTCATTGAGAAGTGCACGCATGATAATGAAATGTGGTAAAGCACCAGTCCACAACAGCGATGCCAAACTACACCTGCACTCATTTACAAGGCTGAGGAGGGCTCAAAGGGAGGATCTGGTGATTTTTATGCTAAAAATGCCCAATGTATATTTTAACGTGAGGTAACAATGATCATCCCATGTAGTTCGACATTTCACCTCCAAGACAATCCCAAAGGAGATCTTCCAAAGCGCCTCATGTTTATTTATTTGGAAATAAGGCCATGGAGGTAAACATGAAAACCACATGGAGCTACACCTCCACATCATCTTCACCCCCTGGTGAGTCTCAATCACTTGTCTTTATAGCAACACTTGACATATTCTCATAAGAGTGAACCATGAGATTCCTTATTCACATTTGTTTTTTTGGAGTTCATCATGAATTTAACTTGAATGTGTGTTTTACTGTTTGTATGAGCCCTAATTCAACCCATAGAAGACTTCTGAGGTGGACTTGGAGAAGACTCTCAAGAGAAGACCAGGAAAAGTGAAAAATCCAGTCAGAGGAAAGAATTAGGACTCATCTGGGAAGACCGTGTAGCTACATGATCACCATTGTGTCTCAGAGAAAATATAGGAAGAACAAATATGTTGTTTGGGATTAAGGAAAAGTGAGCATGCTGGATGTTTAAAATGACACAAAGGGCCAGCCCAGTGGCGCAAGCGGTTGAGTGCACGTGCTCCGCTGCGGTGGCCTGGGGTTCGCCGGTTTGGATCCCAGGCGTGCACTGACGCACCACTTGGCAAGCCACGCTGTGGCAGCGTCCCATATAAAGTGGAGGAAGATGGGCACGGATGTTAGCCCAGGGCCAGTCTTCCTCAGCAAAAAAAAAAAAAAAAGAGGAGTATTGGCAGATGTTAGCACAGGGCTGATCTTCCTCACAATAAATAAATAAATAAATAAAATGACACAAAGAAAGGACTTGGTTATTTCTTTCTAATTGAAGTGTTCTCACACCACTCTTATCTGACATAGTACTGGAAGTCCTAGCTAGAGCAATCATGCAAGACAAAGAAATAAAACGCATCTAAATTGGAAAGAAAAAAGTAAAATTGTCATTATTTTCAGATATGATCTGATATACTGAAAATCCCAAAGACTAAACTAAAGAAACTCTTGGATCTAATCAATGGCTTCAGTAAAGTTAAAGGATATAAAATCAATACACACAAATGTTGCATTTCTATACAGTAACAATGACACATCTGGAAAAGAATAAAAGACCTAGGAATAAATTTAACCAAAGTGAAAGATCTGTACAATGAAAACTATAAGACTTTGTTGAAAGAAATCGAAGACACAAACAAATGGAAAGATATCCCATGTTCATGGATTGGAAGAACTAATAGCGTAAATATGTCCACACTGCCCAAGGCCATCTAGAGATTCAACAAAATCCCTATCAAAATTCCAATGGCGTTTTTCACAGGAATGAAGAAAACAGTCCTAAAATTTGTGTGGAACAACAAAAGACTCCCCACAGCCAAAGCAATCATGAGAAAGAACAAAACTAGAGGCATCACACTTCCTGATTTCAAACTATACTACAAAGCTATAGTAATGCAACCAGTATGGTACTGGCATAAAAACAGACACATAGACCAAGGAACAGAAGAGAGAGCCCAGAATTAAACCCCCACATCCCCAGTCAACTAATATTTGACAAGGGAGCCAAGAACATCCAATGGGGAGAGGATAGTGTCTTCAACAAGTGGTGCTGGGAAAATTGGATAACCCCATGCAGAACGAAATAGGCCGCTAGCTTGTACCACTCACAAAAATTAACTTGAAATGGATCAAAGACTTAAACATAAGACCTGATACCATAAAACTCGTAGAATAAAACTCAGGGAAGAAGCTCCATAACACTGGTCTTGGCAGCGATTTTTTGGATAGGACACCAAAAGCACAAACAACAAAAGAAAAAATCAACAAGTGGGACTACATCAAATGGAAAAGCTTCTGCACAGCAAAAGAAACAATTAACAAAATAAAAAGGCAAGTTATGGAAGGGGAGAGAATATTTGCAAACCATGTATCAGATAAGGGGTTAATATCCAAAATTTATAAAGAACTTGTACCACTCTATAAAAAAATCCAATTAAAAAATGGGCAGAGGAACTAAATAGACATTTTTCCAAAGAAGATGTACCCATGGCCAACATGTACATGAAAAGGTGCTTGATACCACTAATCATCAGGGTAATACAAATCAAAACCACAATGAGATATCACCTCACATCTGTCAGAACTGCTATCATCAAAAAGACAAGAGATAACAAGTGTTGGTGAGGATCTGGAGAAAAAAGAATGTGAAGAAAAGAGAACGTGTAGAAATGTGCACTGTTGGTCAGAATGTAAACTGGTCTAGCCACTTTGGAGAACAGTATGAAGGTTCTTCAAAAAGTAAAAACATAACTATCATATGATCCAGAAATCCTACTTTTGTGTAGATACCCAAAGGAACTGAAAACAGGATTTCGAAGATATATGCACTCTCATGTTTATTGTAGCATTATTCACAACAGCCAAGATATGGAAACAACCTAAGTGTCCATCAAAGAATGAATGGATAAAGGAGATGTGATACACACACACACACACACACACACACTCAATGGGATACTATTCAGCCATGAGAAAAAAGGAAATCCCATCATTTGCGACAACATGGATGGACCTTAAGGACATTATGCTAACTTAGATAAGTCAGACAGAGAAAGACAAATACTGTATGATCTCATTTGTATGTGGAATCTAAAAAGAAAACAAAAAACTCACTCGAAAAAACAGAGAGTGGAACAAGGGTTACCAAAGGCTGGGGGGTGGGGGAATGGGAGAGGTGTTGTATAAGGATACATACTTGCAACTAGTAAATAAGTCCTGGAGATCTAATACATAGTACAGGAATTACAGACAACAAAACTGTATTACAAACATTAAACTTGCTAAGAGACTAGATCTTAATTGTTCCCATCACTAGAAGAAATGAAAACTCTGTGACACAATAGAGGTATTGGCTAATGCTACAATGGCAGTCATACTGCAATATAAATGTATCAAATCAATGTTGTAAACCTTACACCTACACAATGTTATATATCAATTATATCTCAATTAAAAAAAACAGAATAAATAAAAAAATAAAAATTGAAGCCTTAAACAGTCTTAATGGTGCAGTAAAATGTACCCATTCTTGTGTGTCCTTATCTCCTTACATATAAAATAATTTTAGGCAACAATATTTTTAGTATTCTAATTTCTTTTAAGTGCTTCATACATCGGGGCTTCACAAGTAATCACAAAGACTTAAGCTCCTCAATGGCCAAGACAATGTTTTATTACAAAGAAGGATTTAAATAAATATTTGCAGAGCTGCTGTCAAGTGTCCAGCTCTCCTGACACAGGGTGGCAGAGAGTGTATATGAAGTCAGGTAGAGGGGACAAGGGCCTATACTGCTCCTCCCCTGCCACCCAACAACAACAAAAACAATAGATAACAAACTGTCATGGGTTTGTCAGGGACACCTGAAAGACGCCATGAATGCATTTCTTTTTCTGTTACATCTACTTCTTTTCTTCCTTCCCACTTATGCCTCTTTGCTTTACTATTCCTGTGATTGCTTTACAGTGCATACTAAGGGTAGAGCTTAGCTGAAGGTTTTGTAATTGCACAATAGCCACTGGTTCTCTCTCCTGTATGAATTTTTGGATGTAGAGTAAGGTCCTAGGCTGAGTCAATTTCCAGGATGACTTTAGATGACAATAAGTGATGATTTGCCTCAGAAACTTTTCTCACAGCAATGACACTTATGGGGTTTCTCTTTGGTATAATTTCTCAGGTGCCTAGTAAGACATTTCCTACGGCCAAAAGATTTTCCTCAGGAGTTACATTCAAAAGGTCTTTCCCCAGTATGAGTTCTCGGATGTTGACTGACATAAACCCACTTGCAAAAGGCTTTCCCATGTAGCCTACATTCACTACAAAGTGTAAGAGACTCCGAGTATGAAGTATGAAGACTCCGAGGCCGAGTGAGGGATGAACGAAGGCTGAGGGCCTGTCCATTCACTATATTTGTAGGGTTTCTTCCCAGTGTGACTCCTCGGGTGTTGAGGAGTTAGGGAAGAGCAGTCACAAATGCTCTCTGATATTCTTTACACTCAGAAGGTTCTTCTCCAGTGTGGATCCTACTATGCCGGAAAAAAAAGAAAAGGTGGGGGCATACCTGGTGGTGTAGTGGTCAAGTTCCTGCACTCCATTTCTGGCAGCCCAGGGTTCACAGGTTCGGATCCTGGGTGCAGACCTATGCACCGCTTACCAAGGCATGTTGTGGCAGGCGTCCCACATAAAGTAGAGGAAGATGTGCACAGATGTTAGCTCGGGGCCAGTCTTCCTCAGCAAAAAAGAGGAGGATTAGCAAGAGGTGTTAGCTCTGAGCTACCATTCCTCACCAGAAAAAAAAAAAAATGAAAGGGTGAATGAAGGCCTTTCCACATTTGCTGCACTCCGGGCTTCTCTCCTGTGAGAACCCTCATGTGATGAGTGAAAAAAACAGCCGTCAAAAAAGGTTCACCCATGTGTTTTGCACGCAAAGAGACTTTCTCTAGAGTGGGAAATATTATTTTGGACAAAAGCAGAGCTGTCACAAGAGACTTTCCCACATTCTTTGCATTGACAAGGCTTCTCCCCAGTGTGAATCTGCTGGTGCTGGTGCTGCATGAGGTCTGACCTGCAGTTGAAGGCCTTCCCACCCAGGAAGCACTCACATGGCTTCGCGGAGTGTAAATCCTCATGTGTTGACTGAGGTCCACCCATGTGACAAAGCCTTTCTCATGTGCACTGCCATCACAGGGCTTCACGTCAGCATGGTCTGCTGATGTCGAACAACAGGCCAGCGTTTGTTCGACCCTTTCCCACATTTCTTCCACTTGTGGAGATCCTTCCCTGCATGGACCACAGAAGCTTTACCTGGTCCAGGTGAGTTCTGTTCATGAAAAGCATCTCCTGGAGCCTCGCTCCTGTGAAACTCTCGAGTGGGGATTATCATCTGTCCCCACACCACAGGGTTCAGAGCTCGTCCTCCTGGGGAGACTCTCCTTGGGGGAGTCTCTCGCCCTTCTTGCATTTGGCCCTCCTTGTTCACCAGCTCATGCCAACCAGGAGTCCCTTGAGACTCCAAGGCAACTGACCCTGGAGCAAGGCTCCTTCTGACAAGGCTCCTTCTGACAAGAGGTGGAAGGTTTCATGGCCTCAGGTGGTACTTTCTTGCATAATGAATCCACTACACAAATGGGCCTGTTAGTCACGCCAGCACACAAACGCCTCCCAACACTCAGGGCTCTGTGTGGCTTCTCCCCATTGTGAGGAGCCTGGTGCTGGACAAGTCCAGAGCTGACCAAGAAGTTCTTGGGACCCTCCGTGTGAGTGAAGGCCTCTCACACGTGGGATCTGCAGTTCTTCACCAATGAGGCCTGGCCCTTCTCCCTTCTGAGGAATTACTCTCAACTCTGCTGCTTCTGCATCTGGTCAAGGTTTACACTGAACCAGAAGTGGTTCCAAATGCTTCACATGGTGGTGTATGGGTGCTACCCACATGGCGTTCCCTGGTGTTCAGCCAGGTGCAAAAATATCTCTCAAGACTGGGCTACACGTGTCACAGGGGTGAGCCATTTGGCTGGAAGGACCCCTCCTGGGAGTTCTCATCTGTGACACGCCTACAGAAAAGCCCTGCTCACAAGGTGCATCCTCATCTTCCACTCCATGCCAACAACCTGAAGGAAGATAAATGCCAGTAAAGTGCATGTTTAATTGCTGGGAAGTGGCATCCCATAACCAAGGTGTGTCTGCTATGACCAGGAATTAGTCCGTGGGTTGTTGGCAGAACACGGGAGCCAGAATCAGCATGAGGAAGGGCTGCTGTGTACTGTGGGCCTCTAAAGGTCACAGAATGGAGGAGACAGAGCAGAGGAGACAAGGACAGAGTACAGCATAAGGAGTGGCATGGTCTCCAAGTCACTCCTCCGCCAAGAGTTTCCCAGCAAGGCCTTGGTTCCTTGTCACAGGTGAGTGCTGTGCAAAAGAGTCTGTCCAGGGCCAGAAAAACCTGGCTGGAATGGAAAACTTAGTGTTCATGGAAAATTTAATGACACATGCATGTCTTGTGACACATTAAATGAAAGCCAATGCTGGAGGGCGCTGCATGGAGGGCCCAGAGAAGAACAGCTAAGCTGTGGAGAGTAGAAGAGTGGAGGACTAACAGGCACCTGAGGTCAGAGTAGAAATGACAAGTGAGCAAGGCATTAAAAATAGAGAAGGACAAGTAGGATGACATTAGCCCCTGGGGTTGGCCCCAGAACACTAGTAGACAGCGCTCAGGTTGCTGGTGTCACGTGAAGCCATCCCCAATGTCACCTTTCCCACAGCTTCCACTTACCAGGTCTCCTCCAGGTCTTCTTTGCTGTGGCTGAGCCTGTGTCTACCTTCTCAGCCACCCTGGGCTCCCCTCTGGTCCCATGTGGGTAACTACATGAGATCTGGAAACCGCAAGTCCTACGAGGAAAGAAGAGCTGCTGAGTGGCCAGCAGTGACCCAGGGAGACTCTCTCCACAGAGAAGAAAATAAAATATTAAAAAAAGAATCTTGAAGAGGGTCTTGCAGGAACAGCTCAGTGTTCTCCACAAGAAGTGACCACGTCAGTGCTGGCAATTCCTGGAACCTTCAGGCACCAGGAAATGCCAATTAGAGGAAGGGGGCAGAACCTGGGCAGAGTGGCCAGGCCAGCTGGGATCTGTTAGGCAGCCTCCTGACCCCCAAATCCTTCATTTCAAAGCTTTGGGGCATAGAGGTTGGGGTTGCTCTGGGAGAGGAGGAGGTGATGCACACTCCCCAGCCCTGGTACCCCAAGCACCTACTCCAGGGAACCAAAAAGGAGCTGTGTCATCACAGAACTGTGAGACAGAGAGAGCTGCCCCTTGGGAAAAAGGAGAAGAACAAAACCCAGCCCAGGAAACTAGGAATCATACCTACCCCCCGGGATCCATGCCCTTGTTAAGTCCCTCCAGCTGCGTGTGGGCTGGACCTCAAAGCTCTTCTAGTGAATAGAATATGGCAAAAATGATGGGATGCCACTTCTGAGAAGACCTTCTAAAAATACCAGCTTCTCTCTTGGATGCTGTCTCTTGCTCATGATCATGGAAATCAGCCCCCTTGTTGTGAACTGCTTATGGAGAAGACAACATGGCAAAGCAACTGAGGGAGGGCTCTGGCCAACAGCCAGCAAGGAAATCCAACAGCCTCCTGCTCATGTGCATGTCCTTGAAAGGAGAGTCACCTCCAGCTGAGCCTTCAGATGAGATAGCAGCCCTGGACATCTTGACAACAAGGTCATGAGAGACTTTTAGCTAGAAGTACCCAAGTAGGATATGCCTGATTCCTGACCCACAGAAACTGTGAGATAATAAACATTTGTCTTTTCAACTCACTAAGTTTTGGAGTAATTTTCCACGTAGCAATAGATGACTAATACAGAGACTTACCCAGCGAGGACACAAGCGCAAAGTTCTCCAGCATCACATCACGGTACAGGAGTCGCTGAGCCTCCTCAAGGAGCTCCCACTCCTCCCGGGAGAAGTACACGAACACATCCTCGAAGGTCACACAGCCCTGCCACGATGGGGACAGTTGAGCCCACAGGCAGCATCTCTCCACACAGGTCAAGCTTCTCACATACCCACTCCCTGGTCCCTTTTGTCCCCCAACCTCCCGACTCACAGGAGATACCAGACTGGGCACCACTTGTGCCTGCTCTCACTTCATGTGTCTCTGATCACCGTGTCCAGCCCACAGCAGAACCAGGCAGGTGTCAGATACTACGTAAGCTCTGGGCCAGGCATGAGGGCACCACCCACTCCTGCCAGCCAGTTCTCCTCCTGTCATCCAGACCATGCCTCCCAGACACAACTGAACTTGGGCTCAGCCTTCTCCAAGTCCCCAGTACTAGGGCCTTAAGGCTAGTTCACACTCCTCCCTGGTCTCCCTGCCCTCCCTGCCTCCTTCACTTCCAGTCTCCACTCCGCACGCAGAGGGAAGCTGCTGAATGAAATCTGTGTTAAATCACCTCCCTCCTCGGCTCCAACTTGCATAAGGTATGCCTAGCTCTTCGGGCTGCCATGCAGGCCTGACTTCCGCCCCGCTGCTCTCTGTTCCCATAGGACACAATGGAGACCCTGGCCACTCCCAACTCAGTCTCACCCCCAAGTATTTGCACATGCCTGTTCCGGTGACTGGGACACCCTTCTGAACGTTATTCCATTGGCTGCCCGTAACGGGAACCCATCCATATAATCCTTGGCCTGGACTCTGGACCCTGGATGACTCCCTCCAGGGACTGCACGACCAAGAACCCGGAGAAGGAAAGGTAGAGTCCCAGGGCACCACCATCAGCTGTAACGAGGAGCGGTGACCATGAGGGTGTGAGAGGGCTTTGCCCTGGGTGACCCTCTGCTCACCTGCGCCGGATTCATCGGTGCTGCCGCCCCTGCCACCGCCACGGGACCCAGAGGGCTGAGCGGGGCCCTGAGAGGCAGGCGACCAGGGCGCGTCCCGAGGGTTCAGCCTGGGCGGGGTCGCCTCCGGCTGCGTGTCGCGCTGGGAGCTCCGCTATAAAACGGTACTGAATGCTCACAGGCCGCCGCCTCCAGGGCCGGAGCGCGGGCGCGGAGGCCCCGGAGAACGCGCGGTCCCGGCGGCGCCTGGCAGACACGAGGCGCGAGGGGGCTTGTCCCACAGCCGGGGGCACAGTCCCAGGGAGAAGGAGCGGGGGCCGGGGCGTCACGGCTCCCACCATGCGCGGAGGTGGCCCCGGCCACGTCACTCTCCCTCCCCGCTCGGCCGCTCGGAAGCGGCCCCCACGCGGCGCCTAGTCCACGTGGTCGCGGTCCAGCCAGCCACCGCTCACGGAAGGATGTCCTCGTTCGGCGAGGCCGGAAGTCCCGTCCCGACGCCGCAGGAAACGCCCCTCCCGGGCCGTCATTGGCCACCCGCTCGGCCGGAAGCGCGGAGCATCCCTCCTGGGTAATGTAGTTTAGCCCGCCTGTGCCCACGCGCCTGTGCCTCTTCCCTTCTCCATGGCAACGGCCGAGCGGCTCCGTTAGAACAGACTGGGAAATGACGCTCCTCCAGGCTTCGGAGCACAGGGGCGGGGCTTCGCTTCTCGTGAAGAAAAGTGCCTGCATTTCCGTGGGCGTGGGGGCAAGGCCCCGCCCCCAGGAAGCGTGCATCCGCGGGACCTGGGAACCTGTTAGAAATACTCTCTCTGTGCCCACTCAGACCTAGCGAATCAGAAACTGCGGACGGGGCTCAGCACTCTGCTTTAAGGACTCCTCCTGCGGCTCACTCAAGTTTGAGAACCACGGCTCTACTGTGACTAGAATGGGAAATACTAAGTCCCTCATGGGAATTCACATGAAAAGTGCCTATCATATAGTTAGTGCTCAAGAAATAAGAGCTATTATTATCACTGTCATTAGCATTAACGTCATTAGCATTAACGTCACAATGCCTTCAGTACACTGCTGTGGGAGGCTAAGTCGCGGATGCCTCTTTGCAGGATCCTTGGCATTATATGACTCCTGGGCCGACCCCGTGGCTTAGCGGTTGTGTGCTCGCTCCACTGCTGGCTGCCCAGGTTCGGATACCCCGGACCCCGCACTGACGCACCGCTTGTCCGGCCATGCTGAGGCTGCGTCCCACATACAGCAACTAGAAGAATGTGCAGCTATGATATACAACTATCTACTGGGGCTTTGGGGGAAAAAGTAAATAAATAAATTAAATTAAATAAAAAAAAAAAGAAAATGACTCCTGAGGCCGGCCTGGTGGCGCCAGCGGTTAAGTGCCGGCGGTTCACTGTGGCAGCCCAGGGTTTGCTGGTTCGGATCCCGGGTGCGCACTGACCGGCTGCTTGTCAGGCCATGCTGTGTCGGCCTCCCATATAAAGTGGAGGAAGGTGGACACGGATGTTAGCCCAGGGCCAGTCTTCCTCAGCAAAAAAAAGAGGATTGGCGGATGTTAGCACAGGCCTGATCTCCTCACACACACACACAAAAAAATACGACTCCTTGTATTATTTAAATGTTTTACATAAAAGCACCAATTTGTATGCACATTTGGCTTATCAGTTATTTCTTAAACAGGGCAGCAGGAGGTTTTCTTTTTATTTTATTTTTGTGTGTGTGTGTGAGGAGGACTACCCCTGAGCTAACATCCGATGCCAATGCTCCTTTTTTGCCGAGGAAGATTGGCCCTGGGCTAACATCCCTGCCCATCTTCCTCTACTTTTATATGGGATGCCGCCACACCATGGCTTAACAAGTGGTGCCTGGGTGGAGCCCAGGATCCCAACCTGCAAACCGGGCCCTGCAGCGGAGCGCGAGCACTTAACCACTGTGGTACCCTCCGCCACCAGGCCGGCCCCCACAGCAGGAGGTTTTCTTAAACTACAGGTAGGCATCTTGCCCAAGAAATGCATTATTACAGGCCACACGATTCAGATCTTGGGAACATCAGGACTAACTGCCCTCAGGCCTGATTGGAGAGTAGAGGCGACATGATTTAAAGTTTGTGACATAAGATGACGTCATCTAGTTCACATTAACCGGGACCTCTCTCTCCTCCTCCTGTCCTCCCTTTCTGACCCTCAGGGCAGAGAGACCCACGTACAAATATATGATCATGAGATGGCCCAGCCTGAAGCTCAGAGGCTTCAGGTCATCAGGTCCCATCCTCATCAAAACACCATCACCATCAGCCCATCACCTGAACCTGCAGCCCCCGGGGAGCACTAAATCATGGGGAGGTGTGAAATCTAGAACCACTGGGGCCATCCCCAGAATGGTGCACAAATGCACTAACAAGACACAATTTCACAATCACTTCTGTGTATATTCAGTTGGCCACAACTCACATGGTCCCAAACTTTAAGTGTAAGGAAAGCTGGGACATGCTGTCATCTCAGGTGCCCAGAAAGAGAAAATGGGATTGGTAAGCATCCAGCCATTTTATGTCACCATCTATCAGTTTGGTGACTATATATTTTATTGTTTCTCCTATGCATTCTACACTGCCACTCTTTTATTATTCCAACAACACAAAACCCCACCTAATCACTGAGCCCATCTCACTGTTACAATTCTAGGGTGTATTGTCCTTTGCATTAGGTTCAAACACTGTTCCTTAACACCAGGAAACTCAACACAAAATACATCATCTCTACTCACACACAATATATAGTGGGTCAGGGACATAGCAGAAGGACATACTAAAGGTGCCGGAGAAATAACTGACAACATAGATTTCTATACTCAACAAGAGCATTTTTCAAGAAAGAGCATGAAAGAAGACTATACAAGGCCAAAAAGGAGAAATGTACTAGAAAACTAACCCATACACAATGAATCCTAAAGTTTTCATTTAAGACCAGAGGAAAGTGATCTCAGGTGACAGGTCTGCAGCGACAGAAGGAATGAAGATCCAAGAGAAGGATGCATCTGTGGATTAATAGTTATTCATTACCTGTATAAAACAGGAACAGCATCTCCTTGTTGAGCAGAACAAGAGAATTACCACGCAATCCTCAATAATACCCCTTATCTTGTGCAAGAGGAGAGTGAAGGTATTAATTCTATATTCTGTTATGTGAGAGACATGTTATTTTTAGCTTAAACATTAATAAAATAGAAGTATATACATTCCCAACTAAAAGCAAAGTTTAGAATGTAAATTATATAAATCTTTAAGAGAAAGTACAAGAAACAGAACTGAAGCAAAAATAAGCACAAAATAGGAAGAAGCATTTTAACCCAAATATACCAGCTATCACACTAAATGAGTATGGAGTAAAAGTTTGAATTAGTCATCAGAAGGTTTTGGTGAGTTGAAAAATATCCAGCAATATTCAGTTTGTAAGTCTCATTTCTAAGATATAGTGTTATAGAAATAGATGAAATAAAAGTTTGGAAAATATATACCTTATAATTATTAAATAAAAACACACAAAAATGTGTATTTGTATCTGAAAAACAGATATAAGGAAGGAAACATCAGCAGGAAGACATACTTTAAAATTTGTATACAATTTTTAACGTCATTTCAAATTATATAAAACAATTTTATTATAAGAATAAAGAGTTAAATCTATAAACAAACCGGGGTATTTTAATATGTTATCTCAGTAATTGATTTTTAAAAGGCAGGAATAACATTGCTAAGGTTCTATTAGATTCACACACCAAGATGCACAAATCTGGCCTGACAGATACATATACAAGTGTTTGACGCAGGATGTTTGCTTTTTAGCACAAACGGACTATGTATAAAACTGACAATACATGGGACCATAAAAATATCTCTTTGACTTGCATAGAATGAAATAAAACAGAGAATGCAATCAGGATAGAGATCAGTAACAGAAGATACCTAAAAAATGTAAAGATGTGCTTGGAAATTAAATTACAAAGTACTAAATGACCAATGCATGAGAGAAGCAAAGATAATCAAACCCGGAGAATATGTTCTTTGAGAATGATGACAGCCCCAGTGCCGATTTGATAGGCCTTTATAGCGAGTCTAATGGACAGTATTCCGACAGGTAAGGAGACACAGATGGGGTCTGCCCTTAAGAGTATGGGCTTGGGGGGCTCGCCAGGTGGCGCAGTGGTTAAGTTCGAGCGTTCTGCTTCGGTGGCCTGGGGTTCGCAGGTTCAGATCACAGGCGTGGACCTACTCACTGCTCATCAAACCATGCTGAGGCGGCATCCCATGTAGAAGAGCAATAACTCTACAACTATGATATACAACTATGTACTGGGGCTTTGGGGAGGGAAAAAAAAGAAAAAGAGGAAGATTGGCAACACATGTTAGCGCAGGGCCAATTTTCCTCAAAAAAAAAAAAAAAGAAAGAAAGAAAAAAAAGAGGGGTCTGGCCCAGTGGTGCAAGCAGTTAAGTGCGCGCGCTCCCCTGTGGCGGCCCGGGGTTCACCGGTTTGGAACCCCGGGCGTGCACCGACGCACTGCTTGGCAAGCTATGCTGTGGTGGCCTCCCATATGAAGTGGAGGAAGATGGGCACGGATGTTAGCCCAGGGCCAGTCTTCCTCAGCAGAAAAAGAGGAGGATTGGCAGATGTTAGCACAGGGCTGATCTCCT